TTAATATATATATAATCTTTTTTATATAAACAGAAATACAAAAACACAGTCAGTGACTGCTGTTTAATAAAATACGTAACTATAGTATATATTTTCTTCATTGCAGGGTGACATTGGGTTACCCGGTCTTGCTGGACCAATTGGAGAACCAGGTTTTGGGCTTCCTGGGGCAAAGGTAGCTCCTAAATTGGTAAACTAATTTCTGATAGAACTGTAAAATAAGGCAGGATTTCAGTGAAGCAACAGCAAATCGCCTAGGATGGCCAAGTGTTCGAGTTCTTAACGTGTATGTTGTACAACACTGGCAGAGTGTAAGGTTTTGCAGAGCCAGAAAACCATGGATGGTCAATCTTCCAGACTCCATGAACAACAAGCTTTCACATGGCAGAGAACCAGGAGAAAAATGACTGGTTTTAATTGATAAGGAGTGACTACAGAGAGAACATCTGACTTATGTGCTTACAACAGCCTATCTGTCAAGCAGAGTTAATTTTTCTCAGACAGGCTCCTTTGCTTCATTCCTAATTTTAGCACAGGCTAATCCACAGACTCCAGAAAGATCTCAGGACACGGGCCAAACTGGCAATGTGAGAAGAGATGCCTTAAGTAGTGGAAGAAGAACACAAACAAGTAGCTAATCTCTAAGAACTTCCCTCTAGCACTCCTCTAGTATTGCCTCAATGTTACCTAGATTTAATTTTTGTAAGCCGTTCTTCATTCCAGGGCTGATTTTGTCTGAACACCAAGAAACTTCAGACATATAAACCATGTTTCTCAACGCCCCCTCCCCCTTTTTTTTCATTTTACTTAGTGAATTTGACGGTATTTTTGAGTATAGCCCTTTTTCTTTGAGTGAACTGAACACAGTAACAGAAGCATGGGAAACGTAACAATCTCTTATCCCTTTTTGATCAATTAGCGGAATTTGAGATCCTTAAATTTATTTTCATCAGGAGGAGATGATGATTGAATCACATACTTTTCTGGTACAGTCCAGTTAATTCAGAGAACTGCATGTCGTCCTATTTCTGAGAATCTACCAGGAACCAACCAACAGGAAGCAGGTCCTTCGCTCAGAGTCACAAGTTTCTCTCCCTCAGCCTTGAGCCTCCCAAAGCTATTTCAATTGTGTGACACTGCATGTCTCTGCGACTGTGTTCTTCACTTTTTGCTGTCTTTCTCAGTATTAGTGGTTTTGCCGTTGCCTCACTCTGACACACATCTGCACAAAGCTGTACAGGGTAAAAACTTCTACAGTCTTTTCTAAAAAAATTATTTGTGCATGGGCCTTTGCTTGCCACTGTTATGCATGCCTGTATTTTGGGTAGCTACAGGAACAAACACAATCTTGATCATCCATCCAGTTGTAACTCTGAGCAACTCACTGCACAATCCAGTATGGCTAGGAGGGTTAAAGTCCTCTTAGTTTCCCTGGTAAATCTGTTTGTGAGATACTCCAGCTATCTGGATCCATGAAAGGAGCTTAATTGTACATCTCCAATAGGAAGCTCCTGTTATACTCAATAGCTTTAATGGGGTTCCACAGTATTATAGGAAAATACAGTTTTGAAACAACAAAACCAGAAAGGAACCCTGTAATAGAAAACAACATATTTAAATTGCCTTCACAAACCACTGTTGTCCCCTGCCCTGCATCCTTTGTCTCACTACGCCTACAGCATGTGAAGAAGCTATACAGAGTTTTCCCAGTCTCTGCAGCAGTTTATCTATCCTCAGTTATACAAATTATGTAAAGTAGTTACTGAGTAATTCAGTTCCCATGCTAGAATTCTGGCTGTCTGTCAATTTGGGATAATTCTCCCAAAGCTGGAATAATAGTAATCACGATAAACATATGGGGAATGTGACTGAAGTAATTTCTTCTTATATGTAGGCCACAAACGACAACAGACAGAGCTCTTTAAAAAGATTCAAATTAGCAACTTTGAAGTGAAAGGTCCTGTAAATCCTTAGCACTATTAAATATTACAGTTTTAGTCCAGGATTAATAACCTACAATAATCATTCACATAGCAAAATAAATTAGCAGATAGACAGATAAAACCAACTTACACTGTATTTGCCAAAGTTTCAGTTTCATGGAAAATTGCCTGCTAACAATTGCAGTGGCATTCACCTCAGCTGTTTTTCCTGCCTTCATCAGGGTGACCGAGGTCTTCCAGGACCCCCCGGGCCCTTTGGGCCAAAAGGAGATGGCTATCCCGGCCCAACTGTAAGTTTATAGGCAATTTTTTTAATGTGAATTGGGAGTAAAAAGATGCTACAGCAAAGTGATTAGATTCTATGGCTGCCATGGTAGGAAAGATTTGCTAGTCTAAAAGCATAAAAAGCCTCCTCAACTGTAGAAATGCTTTTCAGCATAAAAGGAAAAAGAAATCTCCCTCTGAAATAGTCCGAGACCTTCCATGTCTTCCTCCACTCCTCCTGATTACACACTGTAACATCTTCCAAGTGGAGCTTTTTTTTTCTGTAGTATCACTGATGCTTCAATCAGTTCCCTCAATATCTTGATGTAGGATACTGTTTTCTGCCCAACCAAACAGGAGACTATAGCCCAGCTAAACAGCTGTCCATGTACATGCGTGTGAACTCAGTGCAACACTGTCATCCAGAACCACTGAAAAAGCAAAGCAACGACCGGCCAAAGAGCCAGAAGAGCAAACCGTCCTCAGTTCTGTTCATCAGGTTGTTGAAGGCATGGTAAAGACTTGGTTGATCTACCTTAAAGCCCTTTACAGAGGTCTTACTGGTAGATACGACCAATCCTTGCAAAAAGGATACAAAAATAAAAGGCTCCTTCTTCTCCCTTCCTTGCACATGTACAGCACTGGCCTCATGCAGCTAGTCTGCCCAACTGTGTGCTCCACCAGCCCCAGCAGTTACCTGCCCGTGCAGTGAGGAAGTCCCAGGAAGATTGATGGCTAGAGTCAGGGAATTTGGTGATATACTAGCATTTATCTGTGCTAAAGGCAACAGCAAAAGTGCATGCAATTGCCACACTGAGGAATAAAAATTAATGAATGTCAAAATGGAATTTGGAGTTTGATTTATAATGCTTCCTGATATTTTTGTGTAATCTGATGCAGAACTGCTTCTGCACCTGCCTCTCCGGATCAGACTCCTCTGTCTTCAAACACACGCAAGCCTCCTGCATGACATGCAATACACATGGAAATGCCACTGACACCACTTCTGGCTTATCAGAGTAGAATTTAACCAACTGTAGACCACAGTGATCCCACTAAGAGACAATATATTCAAGATACTACCATACTAAAGTTAAAAAAGCATGTAGTCAATATAGCCATAAATTAAATTAATATTCTGTCTGTACATATAATTTCAGGGCTTGCCAGGCCTTCCTGGGATTCCTGGTGAACAAGGCCCAGATGGAGTTGGACTACCAGGACCTAAGGTACAGACCTTAACTTACAGAAAAGTAAATGCATGTGTGTACATACATACATGTCTTCATGCAGATATAATTCCTACCCATAGGTCACAGTCAGACACCTTTTTAATCCAGGTTTAACTTACTTATCAGTATATAAAAGGTAGATCCCATAGAAGATCTTCCAGCTTCACTTCAGAACTCATCCTGATGCTGATTGCAGGCAACTGAAGGTTTTACTACAGCTATTTAAACATGCTTGATGTCTCTTAAAAGGATGTACACGCTTTTTTCCACTCAGCTCAAACCCCTAGCTATCTGAAGGCACTGATAGGAAAAAAGCTAGAACAGTGCCAATGTGAACATAGAGTCTGATTCAGGCAGCAAGCAAAACCATTTTTTTCTAGCTTGGGGAACCTGGAGTTCCTTTTACGATATGGGAATTGTAATTCCTGTGTAACTATTGCATAATTGACTATACATGTCTTGAATATGTTTAGACCAGTAGCCACTGTTTATCCCCAATAACTGTCTTGGGCTGCTTGCAGTATTCATGGGTTAGCATTGTTTAGACTTGCACTGTGCTGTTCAATAATTCTCCTCTCTTTGAGAACAACAAATGCTGGGAATTCTAGAGATAAATTAAATTCTGATACTCCCTACTTATTTTTTAAACTATCAACTTCCAGGGTGATCCCGGCAGTAGAGGACCAATTGGTCCCCCAGGTCCCCCAGGAGAAGGCCTGCCAGGACCAAAAGTAAGCCATTTAAACTACTATGACTCCCATTGACTATTTTCTTAAAAAGACAAAAAAGCATAGTATAAAAATGTATGTTCATGCATACACATCTACATGGTTTCTGTCTTCACTAGAAACAATCAATCTGATAAATAAGATAACTAAGGAATATAGTGTCTTTATTTTGTAGGAAATAAAAACTGTTTCTGGTGAGTAGCCATAAACCATGGCTTTCCTGTTGCATACGATAAATTATAAAGTGAAAAACTTGCAGTGAAAATCAGTGACAAAACATTTACCTCCTGCAGACATTAGCTGCAATTGAGTAGCACAAATTTCTTCAGACCTAGCCTTAGTCAGATCTAATGGCTTGGCAAGCACTCATGTCTTGCCTATATTAGTTACAGCTTCAAGCATACTGTTGAGTTCTTCTAGAATTAATTCATCTTTTTTACCGTATAAATTAAATCAGTAATCATCTAATGACCAATATGATGAACAATCCCTTTAAAAAGGATTATTTGTGTAATTATAATATACATAATGGCAAAGGCCTGGAAATAATTGTAACTATAAAAAGCAATTTACACTATGAAACTTCCCAAATTGGAAACTCTTATGCTCCTACAACTCAGCTTTAAAAGTCTACTATAAATAAAAAGAACAGGTTTAGAATGTAACTGTAAATGTAAATGAACTGAACAAGGTCAAATGCAAAGATTTTGCAACATAATAATGTATTACCTGTACAATGTGGTTTATTGGTCCCAGACATTCAGTTCCTGTTGGCATGATAGTTAGGTCCACAGCTAAGCAGTGGTGAAGCACTTCCCCAGCCAGTGCTAGTCCCAAGGACTGGCATGTGCACAGGATCCTTACAGAAGAGGAAAATGAGAATTCACGCAGGGATACTGGAATAGCAATATAGGTATAAAATTAATATTGTGTTATGTGGGGTTTTTATTGCTTCCTATGATGAACATACGGAACAGAAACATTTTCTCTCAAGTTATTTTAAAAACTAGCTTATAAATTAGCAAAAAGTGTTTATTTGTAATGCCATATTATTATTTATGTCTATAGGTCTTACTGTGTAAGCTCAAGGGTGATAAAAGATAACACAACAATAATAATCCTCTCTTAAATTTAAATCAGTTCCAAATGTCCCACCAATACAACCCATCCTTCACTGCAATCTCTACCTGCAAGGTGATTCATGTTCAATGAGCCTTAAGCCCTGAGTGACTCCTTTGAAGTATAAACTGGATTTTAATCATCTGATAAAGGACAAAAAGTCTTTGTCAGCTAGAGCAATCTTATTCTTGCTACTTATAAATAACCATCAATTTGGTAGAGGATGGACAGGAAATTACATGGTACTATAACAATTTTTGTGTGTTTTTATTATGAATATTGTATTTAACATATCCAGGATTTCTCTCTAGGGAACCATAGGACGCCCAGGGCCACCTGGCTCACTGGGACCTCCAGGTGAAGGTATTCAAGGAGTTAAGGTAAAAAGACTCCGTGTCTTCAATATTTAACCTGTGTTGAGTGGTCAAAGTGACCCTCACAGTGTTAAGGAGATTTCACATTGTTTCTTATAGTTTTTTCTAGCCTTAGGCTAGAAAATGAGAGGATAACATGAGCACCTACAGAGTATGTTCTGTTTCTACTGCTGCAAACAACAAGCCCAAGAGTGTGTGTATTGAGGGACGAGGAAGCAGGAGTATCCTTTTATCAGTGAAAAATAGCATTGCAAAATTAAAAACAGCATTCCTTCTTCCCCAGCTCTCATGCCCATGGAGACAGCTGGAAGTAGTTACATGAACTACCACCTATGGTAGAGAAAGAGTCTCCATCCTGAATCTATGTGTATTTTTTTCCCTGTAATATGCACTTAATAAGCATAGATCAGATGAGACAGATTCAAAACACAGAAATAAGAAAGGAGGAATGAGAAGGAATAAAATCGGATGGAAGGAGGAAAGAGGAGAATTAGAACCAATAATAATCATGTGTTTTTTCAATATTATATATCTTCAGAGAAGACATACCGATGAAGTATTTGAGAAAATATAAGCAAGCTTCTACATTGTCTCAAGTGCCTCAAGACACTTGTTAAAATGCAGTTTGAAACACTTTCTCTTTGAACATTTAAAATTAATGCATGATGAATTATTACAAAGGGTTAATATCATTACCTGGATTATCATTAGGGGGAACAAGGAATTCAAGGAATGCCAGGACCACGAGGCCCCCCTGGAGAGGGGCTTTTGGGACAGAAGGTATGATATCTAAATCAGAGATAATGTCCTACACTGAAGCCAACATACTGAAAATGTTCATTACAGTCAGCTCCCATTGAAGGTGTTTGAATTCTGTGAAAAGAGAATGGGGATTTGGGGAAACCCCAGTCATTCACATGACCATTTTAATATTTTATAGCAGCATCTCCTTCAGTGTTGCTTCTTATAACATCATATGAGGCTTATCTTCTATTGCAATTAGAAGAAATACAGATACTAGATTTAACATCACTGCCTTTCTTTTATTCACCCACTATGCAGAATTTGGGGATTACATCAATGTTAAGAAAAAGGGAAATGTGGGTTGGAATCAGGTTTTGGATGTGATCACATTGGCTCAGAAAGGCTGTACAAAGTCCCACTGCCTACTAAAAATCAAACTAGGAGGTACTAATTCATGTTTGCTATTCCAAACACCCTTTCTGGGCTAAAAGGTTTCTCAGGATGATATTCCTATTATTAATTCCAACTACGTCCTTGCCTTTCTTCTCAATTTCCCTACTGTTATCTTATTTTTCTCAGACATAGATAACAATTTCCATCATGCAATATCACATGAAACCCCTCTGTCTGCATGTACTTGTTGGAGATCATTTGTTGTTCAAACTGCTTCAGCTATTTTCTTCCCATGAAAATGCTTAGACAATACTGTACGTTATTCATTAAATTAACAAATATCAATTGATTTGAATGATCTCTAACAAAGTTTTGTAACTCATATCAGAAGCTGAAGGTGAATTTGACAAAGGCAGCTAAAGAGAAATGTGAAAAGTGTAATAAAAACTGACTTCTACTTTCTGTCTGCTTACCAACATGGTTTTAAAGGGAGATCGAGGAGCTACAGGTGAAAAGGGGAAAAAAGGAGAAAAAGGTGATGTGGGTGACCCTGGTTTATCTGGAGAACCTGTAAGTAACTCAGGTTTATCATGTCTGTTTTGTTAAACTGCTTAAAAAAAAAAAAAAAAAAAAAAAAAAAAAAAAAAAAAGCTGGGTTGTGTTGTTATTTAACTACATATAATCTGAAATACTTAAGAAACTGAAACTATGAAAACTTTAAAAGCACAGAGAAGACATTTCCATGCCAAATACCCCACCTGCCACAGATGTGGTTTCTTTCTTAAGGCAGTGAAAGACAATTGCCATGTTTTAAGACAAAGCTATGCAATTATATTCCATGGCTACCAAGTAACTGTAGCTCAGACTTTCCCTCAAAGCTGATGAACAGATGAAGAGAGGCAAACTTCTGCTGATGGGCAGGTCCCCAAAAGCTGGAAAGCAAAATGTGGTGCCTTTCTACTCTGACATTTGCATACTATGAAGTAGGGATACATAAACACCATTGCTGTTCTCACCCTGACACTGGCCCTATTAGACTCAGATATGATGAAGCAGAATTCTGATCATTCCAGGGTGTCAGGCAGGTATACAGTCTCATGAGAAAAAAAAACAAACACAACATGGTAGACAGGAAAGCTTTGCACAGATTCTCCCTTTCTAATGTAAACTGACAATCAGTGAGCCAGTGGGAGACTTAAGGTCATCCAATTGCCGTAAAAACCTCACCATCTCAGGACGTTGTAGATACTGCATGCACAAGGTAATATCACAAGAACGCTACTTTTTCTAGCCAAAGTTCTTCTTGGCCAAATATTATTCTAAGAATGGTATTGATGAAGTCATATTCTGAACTCTGTTATTAAGTGCAGTAGCCTAATTAACAATCACTGTTACAGGGCAAAACTGGACCAAAGGGAGAGCAAGGCCTAACGGTAAGCAAATTCCATTATTTAAATCCCATTACAGCAAGATATAAACAATACAAGATACTATCAGATTAAATGTATCCTGTGTTAATTATTTTTGAGAGAGCTTTCTGACTAGAAGCTCTCTCAGAAATAATATAGAATGAAACTATGGAAAGATTTCTGACTTTTTCACATCTACTTTATGCTGAAATTGAATTTGAAGTTCCTGGTGATTTTAGGTATTTTTCTCCTATGTGTTATTTCCCAGTTGGCATTAGATAACCCAGGTGTGTACTTGCTGCAGGAAAGTTTTTTTAGAAGTATTTAAGAGTCTAAAGAGCAAAGATCTGTTATGGACTATCATGTTATAAACCTATTCATATTTCTGCTAAGCCCAAACTACATGAGACCCAAATTCAGTAAAGCATGTCAGTCAGTGAGTATATAAATACTACTGAGTTTTATGATGGAAGCTGAGCAGCAGTAGCAAAAGGTTGTATTTGAAAGACTGACTCTACACCAAATGAGTCCAGTCATACACTTCAAAAAATATAACAAATGATTGCTCTAATAATGAGAAACACTTTGGTTACATGTCACGGAAGCTGTCACTTCTCTGAACAGATAGCTCGGAAAGCGGCAGCTTTTTTTTTTTTGGCTGATGAAAGCTGTGTAATGCAGTGGGCCAGGTACACTAGGGTTCACAAATCCCAATTCCATTCTGTGTTGGCACTCTGTCATATGCCTGCTCACTATGAGAAATACACTTCCTGAAGTTAGGTCTATTTCTCCACTCCCAGTACATTTAAAAGCAATACCCACATTATTCAAATGCTAAAACATGAATGGGTTTTGACTTTAGGTTTTAATGAGAACCAAATTACACAAAACTTTATTTACAAAAACAGTAATTATTTTTTTTAGATAAAGGTGTTAATGATTCTTATATACCATATAAAATCGTTCATTGTAAAATACAGAACTCATTCCAAGCTTGAAAAGTCAGGTTTGAAAGTTAAACAGTAAGATTTTCTGTAAGTCTCTGTAGGACACAGATATTCATTATAAACAAAATCTTTGGTAGTGTCAGTATTGTACCTCATCCAAAAGAAGCACATTGTAAAATATTTTTCTGGGTTTTTTTCCATATCCAGAGAGAAGATATCATTAAATTAATTAAAGAGATATGTGGTAAGTACTCAGGAAATCTCTGATTTCAGATTCTATTTTGTCTTCATTATATTTACATTTTGCTCCTTTCCAAAAGGATACCAAGTCAAGTCATCATGATCTGTTTTGTTTTTTTTTTATTTTTCCTTTGCAGGTTGTGGTATAAAATGTAAGGAAATTCCTATGGAACTTGTATTTGTGATTGACAGCTCTGAGAGTGTAGGACCAGAAAATTTTGAGATTATCAAAGACTTTGTAACTGCTTTAGTAGACAGAGTAACCGTAGGCAGAAATGCTACCAGAATTGGCCTCGTGTTATACAGTTTAGAAGTTCGGCTAGAATTTGGTCTCAACAAGTATACGACTCAGCAGGATGTTAAGCAAGCGATTAGAAAAATGCAGTACATGGGAGAAGGCACCTACACAGGAACTGCTATCCGTAAAGCAACTCAGGAAGGATTTTTTGGTGCTCGAACAGGAGTGCGAAAAGTAGCTATTGTGCTAACAGATGGCCAAACCGACAAGAGAGAAGCTGTAAAACTAGATATTGTCGTTCGAGAGGCTCATGCAGCAAACATCGAAATGTATGCAATAGGAATTGTAAATACTTCAGATCCAACACAGGTTGAGTTTGTGCACGAACTAAATCTGATTGCTTCAGATCCAGACAGAGAACACATGTATCTCATTGATGACTTCAATACTCTTCCAGGTGCGTTCACTGCAGTTTTATTCTGCATTGTATCTGATGCTTCTCAGAATGGGGCAAGGTAGGGGGTGGATCACTGTAGATAAGTTATGTCCTGATGCTGATCAGGACGGGTTACAAGGTGCAAAGTAAGAGGAACCTAGAGATACAGATTCCCTTCTTCTAAGGAGTCACGTTATAGGGCAATGACTCATCACACCAATGGGGGATGTGCCCTACAGTGTAGGAAAAGAGCTGCTTAAACTAGCTTTCTAAGGTAAGTGCTCACACAATGTAAATCTGCTGGACTGGAAAACAGAATCTAAGCCACTGGGGTAAACTCTACTTATTCATTTCCATTGGGAAAAAATCCATTTTCATTGGGTTATTCACGTGAGCGAGGTAAGCATTATTTTCACACTACCAACTAGTAGTTGTTACTAAGTTCAGATGAACACCTTTGTGAGTTCGTTGTATTTTGTACCACGCAGAGGATTTACAGATTGTAAATTTGTGACAAATAAAAGCCACAGTCCAGAGAGACTGGAATAATCTTCTTAGATGCATATAAATAATTCAAAGCAGTACTGGATTACTTGTGTGTTATTTACATATATAAATAATCCAAATTTTAAAAATATATTTAATTTCTCAGTATGATGAGTTTTTTACTTTTTTTTAACACAGCTCTGGAGTCCAAATTAGTCAACCAATTTTGTGAAGATGAACATGGTACCTTAATATACAACCATAATGGAAATGGTGCAAGCAT